GGCTTTGATGTTTTTTTCTGTGTTTAGGAAGGATTGGTTTGATGAATAGATGGATGAATGGCTAGATGCATGGATATGTTAACATAAAGAGAAAAAGTGAAGAGAAAAAGCTGGGGGGTAGAGAAAGAGAGAGCATGAACCAAAGAATCATCTCTGTTGTTACAAAGAAAATAAAATATTCATTGCATGTAGCACCTTTGCTAACTTTCAATGAAGTCTATTCCTTTTATGATTACCTACCATATATAATTTATATGTTAGTTAAAATTAAGTGAGAAAAGAGAGTAGAAAGTTAGAACTTTGTGACTAAAAAAATGAAGATCAGCCATCTTTGATTTTATTTGGGACTACGACATTCAACGAAACATTTGTGCACAAATTTTTTATATAAGTTTTGCTAGATGATATGCTATTGATTGTGCAATAGGAATGTAGATGTGTTCACGCTGGTTTCAATATTTAGAGTCTTTTATTTTAAATACAACTTGATAGGTTTGTTATAGAATATATATATCTTCTGATAATTCCATTTGCTGTGCAAAATTTCTTCAAGATATATCAAAATTTTTCTCAATTTTTCAGAGGAAATTATGTGCAAAATGAACACATTTTTTCTCTACTATACCTCAGGTAAATAATGTTTATTCTACTTGTCTCTTAAATTTATAAGACACAAAATTTTCAGTATTCAAACTAAAATACAAGTTTTTAACACGATTATTAATCACCTTGTGTATGATTACTACCTTGCTAAGTTGGGTCTTCTGGAATCGTGATAATGACTGTGACAATAAATTAACATGCAAGCACATTTTTAAGTCTACTTTTGTTTTAATTTAGGTTTAGGTGTAACTTAATGTTTTATCTATACATCTGAATTTAGGTATTTTATTTTACAAGATTATACCTAATTTAATGTTTAAAAAAAGGTTTAATCAGTGATTCTCGAGTGTCTAAAATATTCAGGCTCTTTTATACACAATGTAAGTATAAAAATAGTTTCTATGGCTTAGGAAATTGTATTTTGCTAATGTGATAAAGACTACCTCCATGGTAGAGGAAACACCAAAAATAAAACCACAAAGGAGAAAAATCTTCGAATGTTTGGAGACTTGTTGAGTTGCTTAGGTTAGTGAACTTTTAAATATTTTATTTAGAAGGCATATTTGTGAATGTATTTTTGGGTGAAATGATTTTATGGTCTGAAGTGCTGATTTATTTCAAGTTCAAAAAATCTACATACACACACACACACACACACACACACCCCAAGCATATATCTATTAGGTTTAAAGAAAAAAATTGGATTGTCATTTTAAAAATTGGCAAGTAAGTATATGTATTTTGGGAATATTTAAATACCTTTCTATAACATAATTTTTTTTAACGGAAGTACTATAGCTTGTCAGCGGTTTTATAACTTTGAATTGTACAATAATTTATGAATTTTCAAAGGGCATACCTGCATTAATACTTTTACATATGACACCTCACAATGACAATTTAAGACATTAGCATTGCTTTAATATTACTATACATTGTAATTAAGTTGACAATTATATTTTTGTAGAACTTTGCCTAAAGTTGGTATTTTTTTCATATATATGCCAGTTGGTCCATTAGTCCATGAAAATTGTTTTCAGTAGCATTACATATATAGTACAAACTCATTAACATTAGTATTTTTCTAAGATATAAGAAGACATGTAAACATGATATAATTTTCATTTAAAATATATATATTTTAGCCACTTGCATGTCAGTATGTTTGCATAAGGATTACATAAAGCCTTTATTTCTCCCCCATAAAAGCAACAGAATATCAACCTTTAGTGATGGAAATGACTAATTAAAAATTGCTATGATAGGAATATTTAGGAGGCGTTCCTTTCCTGCTTTATTGATTGGTTATTCTTCCCTTCAGTTTGGCCAATAAGAAGTGTATATAGAGTATTGATGAAATGCCATGTGTGGTGTGTGTGTGTGTATATCAATGGTATAATAATTATGTTATCGTGACAGGTCTAATCTGCTTTTCCCATGAAGGTTATAAAATAAAACTGACTGTAAAATCATGCTAATAAAAATACCTGGGAAGGATCTAGATGCTTTGACATCATGTTAACTACATAATTATGAATGTTACATTTGAGCAACTATATAGTTAAAAAAGTAGATCTAGTACATACAGTATTGCGTTATCTTGACTGGTAATATTTGTGTATTAATACAAAGAATAAAGAGATGACTTTGCTTTGACTATTGGAAGTGGGTGAAATTAGAAGGGAATTTCTGTTCCAGGATCCTTCCTGTGGAACTATATCACATTGTTTTCAGAATGCTTGTGTTGAAGACAAAATACTGCATGCACTCCGTTAGTACAAAGTCAGTGTAAGATGAGATTTTTATAGCTGAAGAAAAAATGTAAATAAATAACTGGGATTTGAAATGTTGGATAAGATTTTCTGTTCTTTGATTACACTGTTTGCAATAAGATGAACTGTTTCTTCTGCGTACTTCCTTGCTGTTTGCAGAAAGATGAACTGTTTCTTTTATCCATTTTTTCAGTATATCTTAATTCTGCAAAGGATTGACTAATGTGCTATCGATTCCACAGGTATCTGCTGTTTTTTAAGCCAAGTTGAATATTTAAGGCAATATTAAGTGTTCTGCCATGTAATAGTAAAATGCTTCCACCAAAAATGTATTACCAATACAGCAGAAGTCAATAACATCACCTGCTATAAAACAAGGTTGATTAGAAGCTCTTTTTTAAAGACTCATTTAGAATCCATGACAAGTTGAAACATCTTTGTATAAATACACATTACTAGTTTGTGAGTAGACATTTAGATTATCTGATTTAAAATGAATTGGTTATTTCAGCTTCAATTATAAAAAATTTGTATCATACTTTCTAACAAACTATTAAGGAAATTTGTGTATCTAAACCTGATAGTATTAAATTTCATTGTAATTATTTAATCTAGATAAACATAAGGATTATCGCATATTAAAATAATTCTTATGAAAGTTGCTTAAATTAGCAAGATAGGTCAAATATTTATTGTCTAAATGTTTTCACAAGAGCTTAGATTAAAAAGTATTATCTGGTTCAGAAAAGACAGGTTTTAGTAAAAATTAAAGTATATAATCTATATAATTATATTAATAAATTTATATTTTATATTTAATAAATTAAATTTCATTATACAATAAAAATATATTAATAAAATTATATTGATAAAATATTAATATTCTGGTTAGTAAACATCCAATAACATATTAAGGAAGTACTCAATTTATATGTCAATTTGGAAAATTCTGGCCAGCCACAGTGGCTCACACCTGTAACCCCAGCACTTTGGGAGGCCGAGGGGGGTGGATCACGAGGTCATGAGATCGAGACCATCCTGGCTAACACGGTGAAACCCCGTCTCTACTAAAAATACAAAAAATTATCCGGGCGTGGTGGCGGGCACCTGTAGTCCCAGCTACTCGGGAGGCTGAGGCAGGAGAATGGCGTGAACCTGGGAGGTGGAGCTTGCAGTGAGCTGAGATGGCGGCACTGCACTCCAGCCTGGGCGACAGAGTAAGACTGTCTCAAAAAAAAAAAAAAAAAAAAAAAATCTTCATTATTTTCTCTCATGCCATGGACAGGTATTCAAAATATATAGGAAACAAGGCAATGGTTTGAGGAGACTGATACAATCCATGCCAATATAAAAGAGCAGCGATGGCCAGGCACCGTGGCTCACTCCTTTAATCCCAGTACTTTTGGAGGCTGAGGCGGGTGGATCACCTGAGGTCAGGAACGCGAGACCAGCGTGGCCAAAATGGTGAAATCCCGTCTCTACTAAAAATACAAAAAGAAATTAGCCGAGTGTGGTGGTGTGCACGTATAATCCCAGCTACTCAGGAAGCTGAGGCAGGAGAAAGGCTTGAACCCAGGAGGCGGAGGTTTGCAGTAAGCTGAGATCGCGCCATTGCACTGTAGCCTAGGTGACAGAGCAAGACTCCATCTCAAAATAAACCGAGCAACCAACCAGATAAAAAGAGCAGTGAAAAGATAAAGCCAGCTTCACACTGGCTTTATAATACACACTGTGTATATAATAATACACACTGTATATTATCATTTAATACACACAATGTGAGGTTTAGACCAATGTGTTTAATACATACAATGTGAGGTTAGACAAATGTGAGGTTTAGAATTTGAGCATGTTGGTCAAGGTCGCATACTTAACAAGTGACAGAGTCAGTATTTAAAATCAGTTTGCCCTTAGAATCAATGTGTTTACCAAATATGCCATTACCAACCAAATACTCAATAAATTAGCACAGTGTTTATCATCATCATAGTTACACATGGATAAAAAAATGCTATAATTAGGACTTACATTAGTTCCTTGAGAAATATTTCTCCATTCCCTCTGCACAGAGATTTGAATGTCTTTACATTTTCTATAAATATTATTGACTTTACTACTATAAAAGATAATGATACCCGTGTTCAAAAAAAAAGGAGGGCGAGGGGAAGAAAGGAAGGAAATGAAAAGTAAATTAAGATCACCAGAATGGTTTGATTCCTATATGTTCTATGAATTAACCTCAGGAAGTTTTCTGAGCTTATTTCCTTTTATTCAGAAAAGAAATCTTCCAGCTATGAATTCCTTAAAGGTTTCATGATATAAGACATCCAATGTATTGGATACTTTGTCATGTAGAAGCTTTTGATACTTATTACATTTTCTTCCCCATGATCTCCCTGCGATAACACTTTGAGGTACTCTTTATCATTCCATTTGGAAGAAGTAATTATACTCCTTCTCAGCTATTACACTGCTTCCAGTACAATGTGTTTCATTAATAAGTAAAGTGCATGCTTTAAGTGAATGTATATGTTTTTTAAATACATAAGTCTTCATGTCATATTTCCAGAGGGCATGACAGAATATTTATGTTATTATTTAATGGCAAAACTCACTTCTTTCTAGGAGCAATTTTTGATGAATCTGCCAAAAAGGATGATGAGGTGTTTCGCACAGCAGTTGGTGACCTTAACCAGAATGAGGAGATCTTACAGACTGAGAAAATCACATTTTCAGTGACGTTTGTTGATGGCAACAACCCTTTTCAAGCAGTTCAAGAAGGTAAGGTCATCAGTATTTATTTTGGTTTTTTGGTTCAGTTCAAATGGCAATGAAATTATCTTTGATGAAACTTATTAAACATGGATATCATTTTTGTATCTGTGCTGACAGTAGGGCATTATTTTCCTTAGAGATCACTGTGTTGTAGATGTCAATCTTATATTCCAGTTTTGAAAGTGTAGAATGTGGGAAGTTATTATATTAATTGAAATATAATATGAAAATGAACAAATATTTACATGTAAAAACTTTGCAACATTTTTATGACTTCAGTGTAAATGAAACTTGTTTTTTAAGTAGTATTTTGTAACAGAATGTTTATTTTGGACTTCTCTGAGATAACTGCCACCTTGGGTGTTGTTACAACTTGGGATGACATATCAGGTGTACTCATGACAAATGAACTGCTGCAAGAAAAACCTTTGGACACTACATACAAATCAAAGATTTTGCATTAGGACTCTAACATACTGACTTATGCTATAAATTTTTACTCTCTACGAGGCACCAAATATTAAAGCACTTTGCTCCTTTGCCTCTGTAAACCTGAGTAAATTAAAATTTTTCGTTGGTACAAAGTAATACAAATACCAATTATTATTAATATATTGGAATCATCACTCCTATTAATGAAGATTTTGATTGAAAGATCCCAGACAAATGGAATTTTCTGTTTGATTCTATTAATCTAATTAAACATTTAGCCTCTTGATCCAGAAAGCACTCATTTTACATGAGACTATTTGTTGCTAATTGGGAAGGTCTGAACGTTTGTGTTCCCTCCTACCCCACTGCATAGGTTGAAACCAAATTCCCATTCTGGTGGTATTAAGAGGTGGGGCCTTCAGAAGATGATTAGGTCATGAGGGCTCTGTCCTCGTGGATAGGATTAGTGCCCTTATAAAACAGGCCCAAGGGAGCTTGCCTGCCCCTTCTGCCATTCGAGGACTCAGCAAGAAGGCACCATCTCTGAAGTAGAAGAAGAGCTCTCACAAGACACCTAATCTGCTGGGCCTTTGATCTTGGATTTGCTGGTCTCCAGAACTGTGAGCAATAAATTTCTGTTATTATAAATTACTTAACCTGAGGTATTTTGATATAGCAGCCTAAACTAAGAAACTAGTCTACCTTATTTTTTATTGTGATAATGTATTTAAACAGAAGATAATGAATGCAAAATTAATTTAGTCAAATAAAACATTTGCCTCATTAAAAATTTAAATAGGATTTGGCAGAAGAAAAGGCAGATACCATATTAACTGTAACAAAGTTGAGCAGAATTTTTTTTTTCGTAATGCAAACATTGAAAGAGTAAGGAAAATAAGTGTCTGAAAACGTGTACTTTTCATTTACTGTTTTATCTGCTTGATGTGCGGGTAACCTTTATTGAAATATATTTTCAATCAATAACACTGGCTACTTTTGAAACTTATTTGTGTTATTTAGAAAATAGATGTGTGATTGGTGGTCTAAAAGTTTTTTCCTTGTTGTTAATGGAATGGAGTAAAAAAATCATTTTTATAAAAACGAATAGAACTGTTTTCAGTAAAAACTGGCTTTACAAACAATAGGATAACAATGTTTGTAATAATACAATGAGATTTTAATTTTTAATAAGTAAACATTAATGCAAAAAGTCAGATTGAAATAAATATTCAGATATTTATATTTCAAAATCAGAATCATCCTGACAATACAGGGATTTAAATATTGGAAATGTTAATAAATTTTCTGTGGAAATATTTAAAAGCAGTATAAATTAATATTAGAAATAATAGAAGGATCTGGAAAATAATAAAATCGAGTTTGAAGAAGATACCAAATAATTTTAAAGATATATTCAATAGGAAATATATGTCATTCATTTTTCAGAAATCTGTATTACTTTTCTTTCTCAACTCTTATTTATAAGGACCAGAATGTGAGCAGGTAAAATGTGAGGACTGATTTCTTTCTTTATCTTCTGAGTAACTACATATTAATAATTGTGAATTAACTTCAAAGACATGCTAAGCTACCCACGCTTTTAAAAAAATTGACCTTGACTAAAAAAGTAGTAAGAAAAAAATGAAATGAAGACAACACAATGGTGAGAAACCTGAATTATAAGGTCAGAAAAAAAAGTCCCTCACACCTTTATTAAAGACTACAATTTGAAAAGTAATGACAGTTTTTTAAATACTATACCGTTTGTTTTGTTTTGTTTTCACATTGCTCTCTTTAATTATTCTGCTGCCAGCTAAATTCTGAAACAAAAATACCTTGCAATAGTGACGTGATGGCACTGAAAGCAAATTGAAAGAGGTAATAAAGTTCCCAGATAGAGACCACTAGGTATTTGTCAAGAAAAATGAAAGAGCTGGGCAGTTTGCCTGATGGTTTCTGATACTAACAAGGTGTTCTCCACCAGTTATTTTGATGGTCAGCTTTGGGTAATAAACCTGAAATGAGTTCCAGGAAGCTTTAAAGATAATTTGTTTCCCTATTCAATATCAAGAAGGGTTTCAGTTAATGTTAGAAGTAAAAATAATTATTTATAGAGGATTTTTTTTTTTTGTAAAATGGTGGCTTGAAAAAATAAGAGAAAATATTCTATTGAAAGAGAACAAATAACCCATTCAGAAGCACTGTTTTCTTCAATGTTTTGAGGAAGTAATTTAGTAGAAAACCTCGACTGTGCCATTGAAGATAGCCAACTTTCACGTGTTTACTGCAATACTATGCAAACTTATAATGAGAGGGACTAACATCACCTTGTTTGTTTTCATTTTTTACAATCTAAAGGACAAAAGATTCAATGATACAATTATAAGTGATTGCTTCCATATTAGCATCCCTAATGAACTTAGAGAAAAACTCACGGTTTTGATTGCTCTGTTTATTCAAATTTGAAAGTCAATCCTTGAACAAATAGCATCATCAAACATATAGATATTTAGTAATAATGACAAATGATAATAGGGATCACTCAGAGATTAGATAAGTAAAATCTAATAGCCTGAAATCCTCAATTTATTTTATTGCTAGAATTTCCTCTAATCAGCCACATTTAAGAGCTGACTTTTTATTTTAAAAATCAAAATTTCTGTTCATTGTATCTTTCTACTGTCTTCACTTAATAAGAGATAGGAATTCAGTGACAGCGTATATAACCCATAAACAGTAATAAAGAGTATTGGTATTTTTGAAATCTTCCTTTGTAACTGGCTACAGTACATTTTTGGATAGCAATTAATCCTTTAGAAAATGAGTTTCTAGACAGATACCTCAGTTATAACATGGGCTTAACATTCCATTCTCTGGAGATGAATGACTGCATCTCTTAATTTTGTCAGTATTTGGTAACATCGATTTCAGATCTTTGAAATAAATGAATAATAGAAAAAAATTCTGTTTTCACAAAAGTAATCTGGAAATAAATTACCTATTTTGAGATTATTCTTTTTTCCTTTCTCATGAATGTATTCGTTGATAAGCCATTTTGCATCTTTTGTGTACTGAGCTGCAGTATATTAACCAAGGGCAAATACATTTTCAAAACTTAACTCAGGAGGTTTCCTTGACAATATATTTTTTTCATTTGGATAGGCTATTTTGGTGTCTAGGATGCAGTGTTCTCCATAAAATAAATAAATAAATAAATAAATAAATAAATAAGGTATATGGGTTATTTTTAAAAATCTTGAGAATTATAGCGGTGGAAAATTATACAAATCTGGTTGAATATTTTCACAATTTAGATGAAATAATTGAGACCCAGAGAGGTTAAGTAATTCTCCCTAGTTCTTCTAGGGTTACCAGGCATGTGTGTAGCAGAAAAAGAACTAAACCAAGACCTCCTTTACATCACTAGTCCAGTATTTTTCTTGCTATATCTAATAACTATAACCACCCATGCATATATATACACACACACACGAGATAGCACAATGTGTTATAGGACTTCAGTAAGTACTGTAAGGACTCAAAAAAGTAGCAGACTTATGTTTTGATATTTATTTGCTGTTTATTATTTATGTTCAATTATGGAATAGTAGGAAAATTTCAATCTAGGTGATAAAGACCAGTTACATTATCTAAATCAATCTTGTTCTTTTGGCCTTGGTTTTCCTCGTCTGTAAAAAATGAAGGAATCTGAATATAATGTATTTTTAAGGTAGCTTTCATCTCTGTGGTTTTATAAACCTTGAGAACACAGTTCTAGAATTAGAACCTTATAGAAATGATGATTATTTAGTGTTCCTTTAGAGAAGGTTTCATGTTGCCGAAATTGCCTCCTAGTTTTTCTGTGTCTGACTTTAAAATAGATTAAATAAATATAGGGTATCCATTGTTTGTTCTGCCACCTCACTCAACTAATCACCACAACCCACAGCACTCATTACTACCACTAGAATCCAAAGGGTCTTGTGCTGATTCCCTTAACCTGAACCAAAGTAGCTATTCATAGGTTACTCTTTTTATTCATAGGTTACTCTTTTTGTTTTCTCTTACAGATTTTTTCTTCTGTGGAATCTATGTATGACATTTAGCATAAATGTACAAATGTCTGGTGTGAAAAACACTGCTGTCATTTCTGAAAACAGTACTTATTGCTGTTAGCTCTTAGCTGAGATGAACATAAGATGGGCCATGAAAGGTGGACATTTATAAGAAAACAAAGTCAGGAAATGTAAGGGTGGTATATTTGTAGAAATCCTGGAGTCAAAAGGTGAATGAAGTATGAATCCATATATAATTCTCACATGTATTTGATGTATTAAGAAGGAAGTGAAGCATCATTCTTTGATATTTAATAGCAAGATTCAGATAAACAATTTTGAAATAATTTCTCTTGTTAGAAAAATACCTAAAAATAAGCTGCATAGTGCATATAAGGGCAGAATTATACTATAATGTCACAAATTAATCTATTTGAAAGAAAACATATTAAACTATAATACTTTTTTGTGTATTGCAAAACATTATAAACAACATCATTAAAATTCAAAAACACAAGG